GCATGTTTTTATGGCAATTAGTTTGTAAGGTGCGTCAAGAAATTAGGTCAATTTTTATGTTGAATTGGATCACATGCCTGCTGCTGCTGCTGGTAACTCTTTCTGAATCACATGCCTGCTTCATAAATAAATGGCTAACATCTTCAAGCTCATAAGTGATTAGCCACTGGAAGGGTGTTCACAATCAATCATTTACTGCGCCAAGTTTTGAACTGCGTCATTAATTTATGATGAAGTTGGTCAAAGGTTTAAGAAGGAATGTCATTCAAGAGCATGGAAATTTAGTCACAAACTACTACCTGCCCCATGTACTAGTCTGTAAAATTGGCTGTCATATGTTTAATTTGCAATTAGGTGGTGACTACTAGTGTTTCCAAATATCATCCAGGCTAATTTGAACTCATCCAGCACTGGATCTTTAGGCCAAGGTTGGAAAACTAATAACAACTGTAAAACTGGGTTCGACGTGACTTAAATTGCCACATAAAGTTTCAAATTTTGACTGTGGTTTTAGTAAATCTGCGCTGCATAAAACAGAGGTTGTATGGATCATACATCCAAGAGGGCTCCAGCCTGAACCAACTGACACCTATACTTGAATTTTGTTCACTTTTGAGTTCTGACATGGCAGTAAACTGGAAAGGCAAATTCGTGACCAAATTTACAAAAGCTTGGTTGAAAAACCATTTTCAATACATCACAAGAACACAAAGTAGATATTTCAAAGGCGCGCTTTGGTCATCAAATATCAAGCGTAGCCTGCCACAGCTACTTACGGCAATGCCATAATCGCAACTACCCAGACTGGGTTGCTTTTGTACAAAGTGGGCCCTGTTTTGCTTCAATTGACAAGCATCGCGACCTATATAACACCCCATGATCTATCAAACTTCCACATTGCCAAGCTCATCAGCATCATTGTTCAATCATAGACAAGATATAGTCTTTTTGTTCTGTTTTGTTACTTTCAAAACCAACGACTCCTCCATGGCATCGGCTAGCTCTTTGGCTTTGGGTTCATTGGCCATCTTTGGTCTGGCTATGGCACTGGGAACTTTGAGCTCCCAAGCTGAGGGTCGGGCCTTTTTTGTGTTTGGAGACTCACTTGTTGACAATGGCAACAACAACTACTTAGCCACCACTGCTCGCGCTGACTCTCCTCCTTATGGCATTGACTATCCAACTGGTCGACCCACTGGCCGTTTCTCCAATGGCTTCAACATCCCTGATTTTATCAGTTGGGTTTTCTTCCAATCCTGTTTTTCTTTATACACATATCTTTTTTTATTTATTATTAAACTGACTTAAGATGTGTGTATGAATATATTTACAGGCCAGCAACTTGGTGCAGACTCCACATTGCCATATTTGAGTCCAGAGCTCACTGGACAGAAGCTACTAGTTGGTGCCAACTTTGCCTCTGCTGGCATTGGCATCCTCAATGACACTGGAATTCAGTTTGTCAGTACTAATTACTTTTATGCAGTCTCAGTT